AAACGAGGCTGCTCTCCCAAGTCAGTCAGCAGGTAGGTGAGCCAGCGTAGCTCCTGTGCAGCCATGGCCCCGGCGTAGATCTCATCCTCACAACTGGAGCCGAGAACCGAAGACGAGCAGGTAGACCGCAAGGAAACAGAGCCAAAGCCGAGGCTGAAGGTGTAACCCCTGACGACCGCTGCGTAGCTAAGTCGTCAACCCAAGAAGCGTCTCCGTGACCAATGAGGACAACTGGACCCCATCCTCCAAGCACGAGCCCCATGCCCGACGTACTGCACAAGTAACGCAGTACCCTCTTCGCAGCATCCCAGTGCACCTTTCAGTGCCTACCGAGAGCCACGTAGCGAGTCAGAAGGCTGAGAGGGTACGCGAGGTCCGGTCGTGTGCACGTTATCAGGTACATGAGGCAACCCACAAGCTCTAGGTACGGACCAATCGGCTCTACGGACTCGTCCGAAGGTGGAGCTGAGAGCGAGTGGCCGGTAGACAGAGGAGTGGGATGTGGTGAGGAGGAATGGAAGCCGAAGCGGTGAAGGACCTGGTGCACCATGTGTGACTGAGGTAGGGTGATGGTGCGCCGTGCTCTGTCCCGGGTGATCTGCAAGCCAAGATAGCTGCGCAGTTCACCCATGTCAGTGCTGGTGTGTCTCTTCTGCAGCTCCGACTTCACAAGGGTCAGTGCCTCAGTGTCAGCAGTGGCAAAGACCAGGTCGTCAACATAGACAAGGACGTAGAACGGCGGCAGTGAGGTGTCGGTGCGTAGAAACAACGACGGGTCAGCAGTAGAAGGAGCAAACCCAAGAGCCGCAAGTTTAGTCCTCAGTGTGTCGTGCCACTCGCGAGGCGCCTGACGGAGACCGTAGACTTGCCGCCGGAGGCTCCAATGGGTACCTGCAAGAAACGACCCAGTGAAGCCAGGTGGGCGGCGCAGCCAGATCTCCTCGTGCAGGCTGCCCTGCAAGAAAGCTGTGCCTAATTCAAGAGAGTGTAGCTCGTAGTCTCGCTGAGCAGCGACGTGCAGCAACACCCGAAGAGTGGTCATCTTCGGGGTGGGGGAGAAGGTCTAGAAGTAGTCAACCCCCTGTCGCTGACTGAAGCCTCGAGCAACGTAACGCACCTTGAAGGCAGGCCGAGAACCCGGGAGCCGCTTCACCCTGAAATTCCACATGCCATCGACTATGTTCGCCCGAGACGGGGGAACTGCATCGACGTAGGTGCCTGTGGACTTCCAAGATGCCATCTCGGCATCCATGGCTGCCTGCCACTGAGAGGAGTAAGGACCCGTAATCGCCTCTGCGTAAGAGCGCGGGGTCGGGATGTCAGGTGCATCCGGGTCTCCCTCAGGGGCAAGCAGCATGGAAGCGAAACGAGGTACAGTAGCTGCAAGACACTCAAAGTCCTCCTGCCTGTCCTCAAGGACGTCCGTGCCAAGAGCACACTCACCCCCGACGGACGGAGGACTGGCAGACTCAGACTCAGCAACAAGAGCAGTGGCGTAGTCTAGACGACAGGCAGCAGCAAAGTCAACTAGCTCAGCAACGAGGGCAGACGCAACAGTGGACTCAAAAGAAGGGTCAGTGACAACAGTGGCGAGGAGACGAGAGACAGTGGAACTGGCAGCACGAGCGCGGTCAGACTCAAGGTCAGGGACGGCAGGAAGAGAGGACTCAGGAGGAGGCGGAAGAGGAACACGGAGTGGAACATGTCAGAGGTCCACTGGTGATCCCCGATAGATCCTAGGGAAGGGTTACAGGCTCGTTGTCCTGGGGGGTTATGGGCGCACTGACCCGCTACTTAACAAGCCCTTTTATCCCAGTGGTCTAGTGACTGGGATTCTGACATGGTATCAGAGCGAAGGTCTCGGGTTCGAATCCCAGTGTGTGCACTTCGGGCATCCCAGTGCAGGGGGGTGTCAAAGGTCCACTGGTGATCCCCGATAGATCCTAGGGAAGGGTTACAGGCTCGTTGTCCTGGGGGGTTATGGGCGCACTGACCCGCTACTTAACATGCCCTTTTATCCCAGTGGTCTAGTGACCGGGATTCTGACAGAACAGAGGAAGGACGAAGTGCCATAGCGTGTGTGCCGGGGACAAGAGGAGGACGCGAACGAGGAATGTCACAGGATCGAATTTCCACTCGAGAATGTTGCACTAAAGGTGAGTACAAGGCGTGTTCATACTCATAAATACATAGAAACAACAGATAATTCGAACCTTCGGGAACGCGCTCTTCTAGAATAGATAATCACAAGTGCGCATAAGCACGCAAGCCCATTGGCACTTCGGATTATGGCGAGATTACGCCTTGTACACCACTGTCGGTGCTGTCGGTGCCGTATAATGTAAATGTCGGTGCCGAAAATACCAAATAAGTGAAATAATCGGAAAGCTCTAGAAAATAGAATAGTAGTCCGATTGAGGTGAAATAAAGTGCAAATGAAAGAGGAAAATAAGGAGAATAAGATGGAGTAAAAATATGGAAATGAGAAATATGTCGAACGTCGGCGTACTCTCACAAGGAACGCGACGACCAGTGCGAACAACGCGAACAGGCGAGGCAGGATGAGACTCAGGCTCATGACACTCTGTAAGACCTCCAGTCTGCTCACTGTAAGGAGAGGGAGTAGGCAGTGAGGAGGGTGGTTGTAACGGCGGGTGTGACTGGTCAGGCGGTGGACACAGCAAGGGAGGAGTAGGGCTAGCAGAAGACGGGAGACCAAGAACCTGCTGAAGTAGGGGAACGAAGTACGGTCGCGGGCGCACAGTGCTTCTAGCACCAGTACCGCCAGACACAGCACCCCCAGCTTCAGCGTCTCCAGCGCCTGCACCACCAGCGCCAGTGCCTCCAGCTCCAGCGCCAACAGCTCCAGGGTCTCCAGCTCCAGCACCTCCAGCTCCAGCGCCACCAGCGCCTGTGCCTCTAGCTCCAGCGCCTCCAGGCTCCGCAGGGTCTCCAGTTGCAGCTCCTCTAGCTTCAGCACCCCCAACACTACCAGTCCTTGCAGCTCCTCTAGCTTCAGCACCCCCAACACTACCAGTCCTCTAGCTTCAGCACCCCCAACACTACCAGTCCTTGCAGCTCCAGTACCCCTGGTACGAGCACCTCCAGGACCAGCAGCTGCATCACCTTCGGTACCACCAGCTCCAGTAGTAACTCCAGTACCTCCAAGACAAGCAGCTCCAACACCTCCAGCTCCAGTGTCTCCAGCGGCAGAGGCTCCAGCTCCGGCAGCTCCACTCCGAAGGCGTGTGCGGTGAGCAAACCACTCGTGCAGCTGCTGCTGGGAGAGAGGCTCCGGCCGGGGAGAAAGTCGTGGCGAAGCACCCGCAGGACCTCCGGAAGAAGCAGTACCCCGAGGCTCAGCACCCCCAGGCTCCTCACTCTCAGACTCAGCACTCCCAGGTGTCAGATTTATATGACATAGCTACTGTAGGCTATAGTGTTTGCTTTTGTAGGGTTTGCTTTTGTACCCAACTTTCCCTTAGTCAATTCATTCCTCAATTCTCACATGGTATAGAGCAGGTTCCCTAGTGGGAACGCTTCCTTGGGCCCACCACTGAAACCTTTTTTTTCTGACCGGAGCGACAGTCGCTCCTGCCCGAGGCGCGCCTTGTGGGCCGCCCTTCTGTCGAGCTCTCTTAGAGGCCCCTCTCACGGCCCCTCGCGCCACCCTTAGCGGCCCCGTCGCCGCCCCTAGCGGCCCCGTTGCCGCCCTTCCAGGCCCCTTGCGGCCCCTAGCGGCCCCATTGCCGCCCCTACGCGGCCCTGTAGCCGCCCCTAGCGGCCCTGTCGCCGCCCTTAGCGGCCCCGTTGCTGCCTCCCTCCCTACGCGGCCCCGTTGCCGCCCCTACGCGGCCCCGTCGCCGCCCCTAGCGGCCCCGTCGCCGCCCCTACGCGGCCCCGTCGCCGCCCCTAGCGGCCCCGTAGCCGCTCCCCTCCCTACGCGGCCCCGTCGCCGCCCCTACGCGGCCCCGTCGCCGCCCCTACGCGGCCCCGTTGCCGTCCCTAGCGGCCCCGTCGCCGCCCCTAGCGGCCCCGTCGCCGCTCCCCTCCCTACGCGGCCCCGTAGCCGCCCCTACGCGGCCCCGTCGCCGCCCTTACGCGGCCCCGTCGCCGCCCCTAGCGGCCCCGTCGCCGCTCCCCTCCCTACGCGGCCCCGTCGCCGCCCCTACGCGGCCCCGTCGCCGCCCCTACGCGGCCCCGTCGCCGCCCCTAACGGCCCCGTCGCCTCCTCCCTCCCTACGCGGCCCTGTCGCCGCCCCTACGCGGCCCCGTCGCCGCCCCTAGCGGCCCCGTCGCCGCCTCCCTCCCTACGCGGCCCCGTCGCCGCCCCTACCCGGCCTCGTAGCCGCCCCTACGCGGCCCCGTCGCCGCCCCTAGCGGCCCCGTCGCCGCTTCCCTCCCTACGCGGCCCCGTCGCCGCCCCTACGCGGCCTCGTAGCCGCCCCTACGCGGCCCCGTCGCCGCCCCTAGTGGCCCCGTCGCCGCTCCCCGCCCCTAGCGGCCCCGTCGCTGCCCCTACCCGGCCCCGTCGCCGCCCCTAGCGAGCAACCGAGCCGCCGAGCCGCCCAGCAGCTGAGCCGCCGAGTCGCCCAGCAGCCGAGCCGCCCCTGGAGCAGCCGCCACTGCAGCAGCCGCCCCTGGAGCAGCCGCCACTGCAGCAGCCGCCCCTGGAGCAGCCACCCCTGCAGCTGCCGCGGAGCTCTCGCTCTACAGTGGTAGCGGCCTCGCCGTTGCCGCCGTCGTACGCCTGCCCTTCTCGCCACTGGTGAGCACTGCCCTGCCCGTACTGCTGTTACTGCTGCTCTTACTGCTGCTGCTCTTTCTACTGCTACTGCTGCTCCTGGCGTGGCCAGATGCAGCTCCAGCGTCGCCCGCGTGAGTCCCTCACCCCCCAACAGCTTCGTGCATGGTACGCTGGTTGGGGTTGTCGGGGTGGCCGTAGTGGGAGTCGTCCTGGAGTGAGTAGTTCCACAGCTGCTTGTAGTGGCCAGGTGCAGCTGCAGCGTCGCCCGCGTGAGTCCCTCACCCCCCAACAGCTTCGTGAGTGGTACGCTAGTTGGGGTTGTCGGGGTGGCCGTAGTGGGAGTCGTCCTGGAGTGAGTAGTTTGGCAGCTGCTTGTAGTGGCCAGGTGCAGCTTCAGCGTCGTCCGCGAGCAGTCCTTTCGCCCCACCAGCTTCGTGAGTGGTACGCTCAGCGTGACGGGTCACGGGGTACTGCTCGCTGTCCGTACGTCATTCGCACTGGTGCTCGGACTGGTCAGCCTTGCGGGACGTTGGGTCACGCAGAGTCCCGCTGCTTCGCCCGTCTGAGCGACGCCTGGCGTACGGAGTTTGGCGACGCGGCTGAGCTCCCCGACTGGGTGGAGCTGCTTCGGCTGCGGGTAGATATCTATACTCTTGACTATGATGCTATCCTCACTGCCATGTATGCATTGCCTACTAGTGATGAGGGTGACTGTTACCTGTGTGTTCCGCCTGACCCGGGCATTGAGGCTGCTGCTCTAGGTGCTGGTGAGGCTGCTGCTCTAGGTGCTAGTGCGTCTGCTGCCCCAGGTGCTGGTGAGTCTGCTCTCTCAGGTACCACGTCGTCTCAGGCCTTACACACCTTCACTCTTGACTCGGGTGCTTCCCGCTCCTTCTTTCGAGACCGCACCACGCTTACGCCGCTCAGTCGGCCGGTTGCGGTCTCCCTGGCAGACCCCTCTGGGGGTCCTGTCCTTGCTCACTTCTCCACTGTCCTCCCGTGTCCGGCGGCCCCCTCTGGCACCCTGTCTGGTCTTTACCTCCCCTCGTTCTCTACGAACTTGGTGAGTAGTGCTGACCTACAGGATGCGGGGGTTCACCAGTTCACTCCTGCGAGTCAGCGGGTGACCCACTGCACGGACGCTCGGACAGGCCGACACCTGGCCACGTTTACACGTCGGCCGGGGTCGAGCCTGTACACACTGACCACTGCGTCTCCTCCAGTCACTGCGTCTGGTCAGGTAGCTGCGTCGGGTCAGGTGTTTGCTGCAGCGTCCAGGTCTGGTCCTGAGTCTGCCCCCTGTTCGTGTCGCCTCCTGTCTCACGAGACTCTCCTCTGGCACCACCGCCTTGGTCACCCCTCCCTGCTTCGTCTCCGAGGCATGGCCTCCCGTGTCCTTGTCTCTGGTCTTCCCCGGTCCCTCCCTCCCCTTCCTCCGGGGCCTGGCCCTACCTGCGTCCCCTGTGTCGAGGGGCGGCAGCGGGCTGCCCCTCACTCCTCCCAGTTTCCTCCGACAGAGGCCCCGCTGCAGACGCTTCACATGGACGTGTGGGGCCCGGCCCGCGTCCGTGGACAGGGTCACGAGCGCTACTTCCTGCTGGTGGTTGACGACTACTCGCGTTACACCACAGTCTTCCCCTTGCGCAGCAAGGGTGATGTCACTGAGGTGTTGATCGACTGGATCCGCGCAGCTCGTCTCCAGCTCAGGCAGAGCTTCGGCTCGGACTTTCCTGTTCTGCGTCTGCACTCTGACAGAGGTGGAGAGTTCTCCTCTGGCCTTCTGCGAGCCTACTGTCGTGCACGAGGCATCCGCCAGACCTTCACGCTTCCGGACTCTCCACAGCAAAATGGGATTGCTGAGCGCCGCATTGGCATGGTCATGGACGTCGCCCGTACGTCCATGATGCATGCGGCTGCCCCCCATTTTCTGTGGCCGTTTGCGGTTCGGTACGCGGCGCATCAGATCAACCTTCACCCCAGGGTCTCCATGCCGGAGACCTCCCCAGCCTTGCTGTGGACGGGGAAGGTTGGCGATGCGTCTGCGTTCCGTGTCTGGGGATCTCGGGCGTTTGTCCGCGACTTGTCTGCGGACAAACTGTCCCCTCGTGCTGCTCCTTGCGTCTTCCTTGGCTTCCCCCCTGACGCGCCAGGGTGGCAGTTCTACCACCCCACCTCTCGCCGTGTTCTGTCCTCCCAGGACGTCACGTTTGACGAGTCGGTCCCCTACTACCGCCTCTTCCCCTACCGCACTCCGTCCCTCCCCCCGCCACCGCTCTTCCTTGTACCAGGTCCCCCCCCGGTAGACCCCCTCCCCCCTCAGGGTCCTGCCCCTTCAGGTGTGTCCCAGGTAGACACAGTCGAGCCTGTCGAGGTTACTGGTGACTCTGGTGCTGCTGAGGGTGCTGAGCCTGGGGGTGCTGACTCTGGGGGTGCTGAGCGTGTGGGTGATACGCCTGGGGGTGCTGAGCCTGAGGGTGCTACTACTGGGGGTCCTGAGCCTGGGGGTGCTACTACTGGGGGTGCTGAGCCTGGGGGTGCTGAGCCTGGGGGTGCTACGCCTGGGGGTGCTGAGCCTGGGGGTGCCACGCCTGGAGGTGCTGAGCTTGGGGGTGCAGAGCCTGAGGGAGCTGGGCCTACTCGTGTGGCGTCTGGCGGTGCTGAGCCTGGAGGTTCTCCGGGTGCTTCGTCTCGGCGGGAGCCACTCTCTCCACAGGAGCTGCGCGAGTGGTTTGCCCGGCGCTGGAGGCGTGCTGCTGGAGCTGGAGGTTCTTCGGCTGCTGAGGGTGCTGGTGCCGCGGGTCCCGGAGGTGCTCGTACTGGGAGTACTGGAGCTGCTGGGCCTGCGGGTACGACTGGAGCTGGAGCTGCTGAGGGTGTTGGCGCTGAGGCTACTGCTGTCGGTCCTGGAGGCGGTCCTGCTGGGGGTGCTACTGGTGCTGCTGGAGGTACTGGAGCTGGAGGTGCTGCTGGCGCTGGTGCTGCCGCTGGGGGTACTGGTGCTGTCCCTGCTGTGTCTGGAGTCGCCGCGCGGCCTAGGCCGTACTTCGTTCCGCTCCTTCAGCAGGTTCTTGGTCTCCCGCCTTCTACTGGTCCTCCTCCTCCCTTAGAGTGTCCACAGCCTGTCCCGTCACAGTTACAGTTACAGCCGGCCTCCCCACTGCCCGCCCCTTCTTCCTACACTGGTCCTACTGGAGGTCTTGCTGAGCGTCGTGAGCCTGCGTCTCGCCCTGCGTCGCCTGTCCGTGCTGCTCGCACTAGTGGTCGTGGTTCGCGTCAGCGTCCTCCTCCTGTCCCTGGCACGCACCGGATGTCTCTGCGTCCGTCCACTGCTCCTCTGCGTGCCCCTTTGCCTTCTCCTCCTGAGTCCTCTCTTCCTGCTCTTCCTGACCCGGAGTCGGACTCTCTTCGTGCTGCCAGTCCTACTGTCACGCGTCTCCTTGCTACTGTTGTCACTGACCCTTCCTTTGAGTCCACTGCTGCGTCTTCCCTAGTTACTGAGCTCGTCGACTTTGCTGCTCGCTGTCGTCTAGACTACGCTGCTAGTCTTGTTGCTGAGTTTGAGTCTGTCTGTCCTCCGTCCGTCGGGGGTGAGTGTGCCCTTGGCACGGACGTCCTTGAGGACAGGCAGGAGGAGTTCCAGTGTTTGGCTGCTGCTTCACCTCATCTCGTGTCCGTACTGCTTACCCCTGAGGGAGACCCGGATGCACTTGACATCCCGACTCCGCGCTCTTACGCGGAGGCGATAGAGGGTCCCTACTCCTCTCAGTGGCAGGCAGCTATGGACGCAGAGATGGCTTCCTGGAAGTCCACAGGCACCTACGTTGACGAGGTTCCCCCGCCTGGGGCGAACATCGTCAGTGGCATGTGGATTTTCAGGGTGAAGCGGCCGCCGGGTTCTCCGCCTGTCTTCAAGGCGCGTTACGTGGCTCGTGGCTTCAGTCAGCGGCAGGGAGTTGACTACTTTCAGACCTTCTCTCCCACCCCGAAGATGACCACTCTTCGGGTACTGCTGCGCATAGCTGCTCACCGCGACTACGAGCTGCACTCTCTTGACTTCAGCACTGCTTTCTTGCAGGGCAGCCTGCACGAGGAGATCTGGCTGCGTCGCCCACCTGGCTTCACTGGGTCTTTTCCTCCTGGCACCCAGTGGAGCCTCCGGCGGCCAGTCTACGGTCTCCGCCAGGCACCGCGTGAGTGGCACGACACACTGAGGACTACACTTGCGGCTCTTGGGTTTGCTCCCTCTACTGCCGACCCGTCGCTGTTTCTGCGCACCGACACTTCTTTGCCGCCGTTCTACATCCTCGTGTACGTCGACGACTTGGTCTTCGCCACAGCTGACACTGCTGGACTCGCCCACGTGAAGTCCGAGCTGCAGAAGAGACACACGTGCACAGACCTGGGTGAACTGCGCAGCTACCTTGGCTTGCAGATCACCCGGGACAGAGCACGCCGCACCATTACCCTGACTCAGTCACACATGGTGCAGCAGGTCCTTCAGCGCTTCGGCTTCACGTACTCCTCGCCTCAGGCCACTCCTCTGCCTACTCGCCACTCGCTCTCAGCTCTGCCTTCGGATGAGTCCGTAGAGTCGAGTGGCCCGTACCCAGAGCTTGTTGGCTGCCTCATGTACCTGATGACCTGCACACGACCTGACCTTGCATACCCTCTTAGCATTCTTGCACGCTATGTTGCTCCTGGGAGACACAGACCGGAGCACATGGCTGCAGCGAAGAGGGTGTTGCGCTACTTGTGCAGTACGTCGGGCATGGGGCTTGTGCTTGGAGGGCAGAGTCCAGTGGTCCTCACTGGGCACGCAGACGCTTCTTGGGCTGACGACCAGGCTACGCAGCGGTCGTCACAGGGTTAAACCTTCAGCCTTGGTTCCGGCTCTGTTTCGTGGCGGGCTACCCGCTCGTCTTCTGTTCTCGGCTCCAGTTGTGAGGCTGAGATCTACGCTGGGGCCATGGCTGCACAGGAGCTACGCTGGCTCACCTACCTGCTGACTGACCTTGGAGAGCCGCCTCGTTCTCCTCCAGTGCTGTACGTAGACAACAAGGCCATGCTGGCCTTGTGTCGAGAGCAGAGACTGGAGCACAGAACGAAGCACATTGCTCTCCGCTACTTCCTTGCTCGTGAGCTACAGCAGCGTGGTCAGCTACGGCTTGCGTACGTGGCCTCTGAGGCCAACACTGCTGATATCTTCACCAAGGCACTTGCGCCTTGTGATCATCAGCGCTTCTGTACTCAGCTGGGTCTTGTGCCTACCTTGCCTCACTTGCTCACCCCTTGACCTTGTTTGTACTGTTGCATATATATATACACCTGCGCTTGCTTGTCTAGCCTTATATATATATGTAATCCTGCATGTGAACTGGCCTTGTGGCCTTGAACTTGTGCTCGGAATGTGTGGTGACTTTGTGATCCACCCTGAGCTTGCTTTGCTTTGCTTGACTGGTCTTGTGACCCCTTGTTCTCCCCCACTTTGCCTATGGGGGTGTGTCAGATTTATATGACATAGCTACTGTAGGCTATAGTGGGGTAGCACATATGGGGTACAGTTTTCTAGGGTTTGCTTTTGTACCCAACTTTCCCTTAGTCAATTCATTCCTCAATTCTCACACCAGGCTCCTCACCCTCAGGCTCAGCACCCCCAGACCCGGCACCCTCAGACTCAGCACCCCCAGGCTCCGCACCCCCAGCCGCAGCACCACCAGACACAGCACCTCAAGCAGCACCTGAGCCGACAGCTACCTCAACAGGCACAGTACCAGGAAGAGGGTCTACCTGAGACACACATGAGGGAGCAGGACCCTGGGGGGGGAGGAGGTCTACTGGAGGGGGACCTGGAGCAAGGAAGAGCGGCGGGGGTGGGGGAGGGGCGGAGCGGTAGGGGAAGAGACGGTAAAAGGGAACCGACTTGTCAAACGTGACGTCCTGAGAGGGGAAGATACGGCGTGACGTGGGGTGGTAAAACTGCCAGCCAGATGCGTCAGGGGAAAAGCCAAGGAAAACGCAGGGAATAGCGCGGGCGGAGAGCTTGTCCGTGGACGTATCGCGAACAAAGGCACGAGAGCCCCAGACCCGGAACATCGACGCATCGCCAACCTCCCCCGTCCAGCACAGTGTCGGCGAGGTCTCCGGCAAGGAGACACGAGGCCAGAGTTTGAGCTGATGCGCAGCGTACCGGACCGCAAACGGCCACAGAAAATGGGGATCAGCCGCATGGATCATGGAGGTACGAGCGACCTCTATGACTAAGCCAATGCGGCACTCAGCAATCCTATTCTGCTGAGGAAAGGCCGGAAGCGTGAACGACTGGAGAATGCCCTCCCCATGACAAAATTCCCGCAAGAGGTCGGAGGAGAACTCACCGCCTCTGTCAGAGTGCAGACGCAGGATAGGAAGGTCCTCACGGAACCGCTCGCGAAGCTGGAGACAAACTGCACGGATCCAAGGGATCAAGACATCTGGGACCTCACCCTTGCTGCACAAGGGGAACATCGTGGTGTAACGCGTGTAGTCGTCAACAACCAGCAGAATGTAGCGCTCGCGGCCCTCTCCACTGACGCGGGCTGGGCCCCACACGTCCATGTGGAGAGTCTGCAGGGGAGCAGTCGTCGGGGGAAACGAGGAGGAGTGAGGAGCGGCGCGCTGCCGCCCCTCGACACAAGGAATGCAGGGCGGGGCAAGCAAGGACGGGAGGGGAGGCAGAGACCTGGGAAGACCAGAGACAAGGAGGCGGGAGTGCATGCCACGAAGGCGTGGCAGGGAGAGGTGACCAAGGCAGTGGTGCCACAGAAGAGTCTGGTGCGACAGGAGGCGACACGAGCAAGGGAGTGCTACCGGATCTAACGCGGACACCTAGGCAGACGCAGCTACCTGAGGAGGCTCAGTTGCCAGTGTGTACAGACTCGACCCTGGCCGACGTGTGAACGTGGCCAGGTGGCGGCCCGTCCGTGTACACGTGCAGATTGACACACGCTGACCCCCAGGAGTGGTGGTAGTGACCATCGTGTCCTGGACGGCAGCAGTACTCACCAATTTTGTAGAGAACAAGGAGAGGTGAAGGCCTGACAGTGAGCCGGACAGAACCGCCGGACACGGGAGAACAGTTGAGGAACGGGCAAGGACTAATCCCTCGGAGGAGTCAGCCAGTCTGGCCGGTACAGGTGCAAAGAGAGGAGTGAGGGTGGTGCTGTCGCGAAAGAAACAGCGTGAAGCACCTGAGTCAAGTGTAAAAGTGTGCAAGGCCTCAGTAGGCGCAGTACCAGGGAGAGCAGACTCACCAGCACCTAGAGCAGCAGCCTCTATACCTGGGTCAGGCGGCACACACCGGTAACAGTCATCCTCAGCACTAACAGAAAAAGCATGCATAGCAGCAAGGATAGCATCGTAGTCTAGGTCAAAGATAGCAACTCCATACCTAAGCAGCTCTGCCCAGCGGGGGCGCTCGGCCTCGTCACCAAACTCAGCGTGCCAAGCGTCGTCGAGGCGGGAGAAGCAGCGGTGCTGAGTGTGAGGCTTCCCGCATGTCTTACCAGCACGGTCTCCCGTGCGAATGACATACGGGCAGCTCACACTACCCCCAGACGCCCCACGCTAAGAAAACCACTCACGAAGCTGCTAGGGCGACAGGTTCTCGCTTTGACGCTACTGCTGCTACTGCTGCTGCCTCTGGCCACCGCCAAAACCTCCACGTTGAGTAGCTCCAGCCCGACCACCACCACTCCCACTGCCGCCACTACCGCCACCCCCACCGCTGCCACCACCGCCGCCACCAAAGCCCCCACTCCCGCCACCACTCCCACTACCGCCACCACCTCCACTGCCGCCACCACCTCCGCTGCTGCCCCCACCACCACCCCTGCTGCCACCACCACCACCCCTTCCACCCTTGCCCTTACTGCTGCGGCGCTTCCCACTAACAAAAGCAGCACCGACATCCTCAGCACCAAGGACGTCAACAGCAGCAGCAGAGGCGTAGGAGGGTGCAAGGGGGGAGGGGGAGCACCCCGCAAAGAAGGGCGTGCGAGGAGGGCCACGAGCTGCACCTACAGCGACTACACTAGTCTCAGCTGCAAGGAGGTGCTGCTCGAGTTGGTCAACAGTGAGGGCTGTGGGGTCAAGTGCAAGAAAGTGGTCCCTGACAGCGCGAAGAGAGTCAGGGAGGCAGGTGACTATAAAGTAGAGAGTGATGTACATCGGGGGCGGGTTCCTGTCAAGGAACTCTGCTGGGAGGGCAGCGCGGCAACGAGCGTCGCTAGTGCGAAGGTGGGAAACCAGGTCCTCTACTGTGGCAAAGGCGGACAGCTCGGGAAACAGGTAGGGCAGGAGAAGACGGCCTAGAGTGGCAGTAGCAGGCGAGGAGTAACGGGCGACTACAGCGTCGTACAGTGTATGTGCAGTCCTGTGCTATCCGAAGTGAGCGCATTCGGCTAACAGCAGGTGGTTGCGAATGGCAAAGCGAGCAGCAGCGTCACGAGTAAGCCACTGTGAGCGAGTCGCAATGTCAGCTGTGGCGGGAGGGGCGAGAGCAGCACCAGACGTGTGGTCAAACAATGAAACACTGTCCCTAGAGTCGCTCAGTAGGTACAGCTGCAGGTCGTCAAGCCACGTGTCAAACTGGATCGGGCGGCCCTCATGATCGAACGCTAGAACGCGGAGAGAAGCCATAGCGGCACAGCACGTAGGGCGGGCAAAAGCCGGGCAGCGCAGGGAACAGGGCAGGCAGCAGAGAGGGGCAGCAAGCAAGGGCAAGAAAGGCAGCTGCGAGAGGGCTGCAAGGGGCGGCTAGCAGGGCAGCAGGGGCGGCTAGGGGGCCACCAGGGGCGGCGCGCGGGGCTGCAAGGGCGGCTCGCGGGCTGCAGGGGCGAGGGGC